CACTGGATGAGTCGTTGAGTAATTTCGAGAAAATTTCTATCTTAGATTTGCTTTTAAGTAGCTCCCACTCTAATGGTTCTATATTGAGAACACCATTCGCCATGAGCGATGTACCAAGTTCAATGACACTTTTCTTCCTGACATACTGTCTGTCTTTGTACATATTAAATATTTTATCCAGAACGAATCGCAATTGAAAGTTGTTTCTTGTATGGACAATAACTCTTGGAACCGCTTCCTGTGCACTCCTCTCCATGAATGTTTCTTAAAAGCTTCAAAAAAGGATATCTCATTTGGACATAAATTTTCCTCGATTATATTTTGAAACCATAAACAGTTTAAACAATTTTAACCAGTATCATGATTATACTGTATATCAAAACATCGTAAAGCTTTGATTTAGACAAATAATTCAAAAAATGAAAATATTTGTAAGCCAAATGAGCTTAATTCTGTTATCAAAATTCCCAACCTGCCAGAATTGTTCGATCTAATATTGTAAAAGTCTTAATCCTTGATCTTGTCCGGCATGCATGCGTCTGTATTAAATAGCGGTGATTGTTATTTCTTGTGTTCAATGAATTAAACAGATAAAAAAAATCCAATATTATTGATGAATATATTGAACATTAAATCCAATATTCCTCTTTCAGTACTTTTTCTTCCTTGTCAACAGAAAGATTTTTGTTGCCGTTTTGTAGATAAAAATGTCTGTCATTATAACCTTGTCTTTTAAACCTTTCGTGTGCATGTATATCATTCAGTTCAACAATAAAGATATTCAAAATCATTTGAAGGGAGATAATTTTGAACGCTGTTAAATGATTAAATGTTTGTTCAGTTGTAGTTTGGTGTACAGAAGACACATTTTATTTGAGGAACAGGTATAGATTCTTATGGAAAGGTAAGGACAATTTCTCATACTCATAAATCCTGTGAACAGGGCAAGACACTTACCCCTGGAAACACCTGAGGTGGATCGGTTGCCTATGAGGAGTAAACATCCCCCTTTCAACTGATCACATCAACCGTGAGCCCTCTGTATTGGTCAGGTAAGGGAAGTTTCCCGAAGGCAAAATTACTGTTAAAATAATGATGAAACATGTCAGTCAAAATACGACCCAACGATAGGTTGTATTTGCAAACAAAGTCATTTTGCCGACCACATAATTTGCAGAACACTGAATTTAAACGAGATTGGTGAAGCCTTGTAACTACAACCTATATATCAGTTGCCTGTCTCTGTTGAAGAATTGATAGTTTTCAGAAGATGCTCTTGCATAACTTATTAGTTGGGAGAGATAAACACCAAGGAATTCCAACAAGGGCGTTCGGAATATTTTATATTTTTCAGTCAAACCTCGTTTTCTAAAACTCGATGGGACTGAGAAAAAACTCCTACATATCCGAGGATTCAAGATATTGAGGTTAAAATACAAAAAGAAAAGGTTATTGGAACTTCAAACTCACTTCGATATATAAATGGTATTCGAGATCTCCATGTTCGAGATAACTAAGATCAACTGTGTATGATTGATTTTTTTTTAGCTCATCTGAGCCGAAGGCTCAAGTGAGCTTTTTTGTTAAAAATTTGTCCGTCCGTCTGTCTAAAAACTTTTCAAATTTTCGATTTCTTCTCGAGAACCATTGAGCTAGTTTCAACCAATGTCAACCACAGAGTATTGTTAGGTAAAGAGGACGCAAGTTTAGTCAAATGAAGGGCCACGCCTTCTTTTAAGGGGAGATAACTTTGATTTAGTGAAAAATTAATGTCATATTTTAAAAATCTTCTTCTTAAGAACCACTGGGCTAGAAAATATTAAACTTATGTGGAATCATTCTCTGGTAGTGTGGATAAAAGTTTCTTTAAATCATCAAGCCCGAGGGTTGGGTTGAGCCTCAATGGGAGATCAAAGTTCTACGTAAGAATACATATGAAAAATCTTTAAAAATCTACTTCTCAAGAACAGCAAAGCCATGATTGGTCATATTCAAATGGAGGCATCCCCAGGTATTAAAGATTCGAGTTTGTTCAAATCAAGACCCCAGGGGAAGGGTGGAGGCATTATGGACCATCAAAGTTCAAAGGAATATATATAGAAAAAAATCTTCTTCCAAAGAACAGAGAGGCCATGATTAGTCATGTTTACATGGAAGCATCCTAAGGTAGTGTAGATTCAACTTTGTTCAAATGATGACCCCCAGGGGTAGGGTGGGGCCTCAATGAGGAATCAAAGTTTTACATAGGAATATATTGAAAACATCTTCTTAAGAACAGCCAAGCCATGTTTAGTCATATTGATATGCATCCTTAGGTAGTGAAGTTTGAAGTTTGTACAAATGATGATCCCCGGGGGATTGGGAGGTGCCACAGGGGGGATCAAATTTTTACGAAGGAATATATAAGAAAAAAAATCTATAAAAATCTTCTGTTCAAGAACAGCAAAGTGATTTTTTATATTGATACGGAAGCATCGTCAGGTAGTTTAAAATTCAATCCCCCCCCATGTAAACTTTTGAATACTGAACTGATTTGTGTATTTTCCTAGCCAAAGTGCTCAGGTGAGTGATGTGCCCCATGGGCTTCTTGTATATTTAAACTTTTAATTATACTTAACTGATTTCTGCTTTTTTCTAACCAAATGCGCAGGTGTGAGATGTGGTCCATGGGTTTCTTGTTTTTAATAGATTGGTCTAACGTGGAGGAAAAAAGGCAAAGTTGAACCAATTCTACATGTCGTATTTATAGTAACACAAGATTCTGCAATATTTAAACCCACTTGGAAAATTACTTCAAAATATCCATAACAAAAATGAATCGCACCTACGTTCTGAACAACAACCAGTCAAATTTTTGCATATGAAAAATAAATTCTTAAAGTAGCATAAATAAGTTTATATGTATAAATTTCTTAAACATTGTATTTGTATGAGGTCTCCTAAATTTTTCATCTAAAATAATGACATTTTTGAATTTAAATTAGTCCAAGATTTAGAATACATGAAATTAGTTTTAAAAAATGGTTATATTATTTATTAATTATTAATCATACTTTGATAATTAAACATTGGCAAATGACCAGATGTGGTAAAAATATACTGGTGAAATATACAGAATTTTGTAAATTTGTTTATTATAATTAATATCATTAACAAATCATTCAAATCATTTTTAAGAAAAAATCTACATCAATATTGTAAACATCAAGTCGATTTATCAATGATCGACCTCATAAAAGGGATATACACACCATGAAAGAACTGTTAATTCCTGAGAAAATAGATGGCGGACGAATATTCCCTACATCAACTCATCGATCTAGCAATGAAAATAACTTTCTATTGATACACTCTTTTTTCACTCGGTACTCCAAGACCTTTTTCAATCCTTAAGAGACAACGATTAAGGAACTCTTAAGCAACTTATATGGAAAACTGCGCAAGTTATCCTCATCAGTAAGATTTTAATTGGCATTAAAAAGACTTACACTTGTCAAAGTATGAAAACAAGGTAATAAGCAATGAATCTTCTCATTTTATTTGTTTTATAATTTGATGTTAAATGACTGCGGCTTTCTTGTGTTCGCTATGTGGCTTATTATATTTTTGAATTTTGAAAATATTTGTCGGTAAATGAACAAAAGCAAAGTTTGGTCTTGGAATTATTACACGCAAAACATTATGCGGTAGAAGATGCAAGAGAGGTAATCTGAATTTATTTTATAATTAACAGTTGACATGCTTTCAACTGTACGAAATTCATGAAATAATGTATTTTAAAGACTTATTTGTTCCATATTATAACAAACTGAAAAGACAATACTCGATAGCATCAGCTAAATCAAACCAATGGTTAAGAGTGACTATTTCGAATTTTGAAGAAAAAAGTCCTTATTTGTGAATTACAGATTTGACAGACTCTGACGAACCAATTTTTACATCGACATGTCGAGTGCTGCTAGAAGTGCCATTTCTGCCAATTCTGTGCTCTAAGTTTGAAATTCGTTCTCCTTGATCTTTCATTTTTTTTACTTTGATTTTTAATTTCATTACTCTGTTGAGCCATCTTTTTATCTTTGCCCTAAAAGATTTTATTTTGTTTTCTAGTTGCAATTTCTGTTTTTCTCATTTTTTTTTTCATTGTCAACAACTCTACATTTTCCTGAAGTGCTGTGACCTCATCCACTTGTTTCTGAGATTTTGATTTTTCCTTTTCCTCCAACAGTTTGTTACTGTTTATCTCAACTTTTTGCAGGCTTTCATGCAGGTCCTCGTTTTCACAGATAAGTTTACACTGCTTCTTTTCCATTTGCTTTAGGTATTCTTTTACTTCTTTGGAGATGTTATCTATCTCCAAACGGTTTTGATTCTGTTTTTTTCTCCTTGTTTCCAAGTATTTTATCCAAAGCAGCTAGTACTGTGCATAAACCGATTGATGCAACTTAATATTTTTGTTGCTTGAGTAATTAACAGTGATTTCTTATTTAAAAATATTGACTACAAGCATGATGATTTTCGTTATTCAAAAAGGATCTTCTTCAATTTTATGAATAAAAGATGTTAGATAAAAAATAGACTTTAAATCTAATCTGAAAGTATTAAGTCTTTTACCTGCAACAGCATACCTGATCCCACCTCTAAATTTTGAGGTCCGTATTTGCTCTGCTCCAAATTTGTATCGTTTCATTGGACTTTCGAGATCGAATACTGTTCGTTATCTTCATATTTCATGTACTTTTTTTTATATTTCATTCGTATGAACGTCAGATGGGGAGTATCTGTTAGCGGGTATTTGTTTGGATATATCCGACACTCACATATAACTGGTACGTATTTATCCCTGCTGCCTGTTAATGCCATATTCGCAATTACAGATATTACAATATGAAACTTAGTGGCACACAGATCAAACAAAAGAGGAGTCCATGTAATATCCTCAGAATCTTTTAGTATAGGGGTCACCCAATCGTTCTGAAATGTCCAATATCCCTCCGCTCAGTATGGTACGCTCTTGCTGTGTTGTCAAATGTTCAAATCGTGATGATACGAAAGGAAAACAGAGAGGTCTACACTTTTTCAGGTAAGTCTTTCAAATATCTTTTTAAATTTTCCAAAATCAAGATTGAATCGTGGTAGGCCCCTATTTCCTTGTGTATTAACAACCAATATGAATACAAGTATACATTGTTTTATATGGTTTTTGTATTCATTATGCCACACACAAAAAAAAACAATTGTGTCATTTCATAAGAAGAGAGTAAATTTATTAAGAAAGTTAACAGTTATTTAATGTAAAACATCCACATACATGCATATAATTGTGTATTTAACTGTATAGTATACTATCTCATTGTAGTGATGGTACTTACAAGTGGACAAAGAAATGTAATATATAAGCATCAAAATTTCTTATTTTCATATATTAATGTATATCTGTTTAGTTTATACATGTAAATGATACCAATATTGTGTGACGACAATATCTTAAAAACTGTTGTTTTATTTATTCCTCTGCTATTTAGCTTAGAGTGACAAATGCACTCCCAGTCTAGCTCTTAGCCGATCTTTATGTTTTTCTTTAAATATTCATGTATTTGTTATAGATTTCCCAAAGATGGTCGAAAATGTCGTGCTTGGATAAAGACAATAAACAGAGATGATTTTGTGCCCATTGAACACACCTGTGTATACTCAGAGCATTTTGTGAGTGGATGGCACAGTGATGACCCGGAAGATGTGGATTATGCTCCAACTATTTTTTAGTACAAAATGAAGAGAGTTAATCCAGAGAGAGAAGAGAAATAAGCCAGAAGAAATTTACAGAAGGTTCTAAATTTCTTCAATGAGACAAAATGATAAGATGAATTTAAAAAAAATGAACCCTTTGAACAAAACTATATTAAAAAAAATGAGAAATAAATGTGGCACATCCCAAACCATTTCACCAAACAAGAAAATTAAATGGTTTACATTTATTGAATTTAACTTAACCATACAATGCTTTTTGCTGTATTATTTCTAGGAATTTCAAGTGTCATTATAGAGAGAGCAGGAGCGAGAGAAGAAAAGTCTGGGCTTTTTTTTATTTTTACATTCCTACTGCAAAGGTAAGAGGAAAATGGGTATGTTATTATTTGTATTAAGTGCTGCACCAAGACTTTCAGAGTGGGAATAGTTTCTTTCAAGTGATTTAGAAGTCCCAAACATTTATGAATATTTTATCCCTTATATCTCAAATACACTATACTCTTGATGTTTTACTCAGTCCCATGTAGATAAGGATAACACCATTTAAATGTACTGTAAATAATCAATTTTATTATATAGCTAATCAATAGTCTATAATGAAAAGTTTGTATTACGTAAATGAGTATGCCCGAAACATTCCGAATATGAGCGTTCAATACCGAACGCCCCGTTGAAACAAAAAATGTAGTCTGGTCAACCTCTCAATGGCAAACCTGTATAAAAAAACATTTTAAGTCATAAACAATCAATGTAATTACACAGTGACATCATAACCATATGGACATATTTAAGATATGAATTTAATTTTTTGAGAATTCATGAGATACATGAACTACGACGCTTTATGTCTGCATATTTCATGAAGCGCGTTAGCGTTATTATCAGCGTTGTAGTTCACATACCTCATGAATTCTCAAAAATTAAATTTATATCTTATATTTACATTATTTTTCTGATGACATGCCGCATATTTTTATCATTCAACGATCATTTTTGAAAAAAAAGTTTGCACTATTTGACTTCAATCACATCACAATGGAAATATTCTTACTCATCCCACGGTAGTTCATGAGAACATGAACTTTTTCTAATTAGCAAAGAATCTGAAGGAAAAATATTTGGAAATGTAAATATTTCTAGATAAACATTTATATGGGTTGGTATATGATCAAATCTTCCATAACACATTTTGGACTTTTTGGGATTGGACCAACCCATATTTATATTCCTATAAATGTTTAAAATGATACCTAATTTCTTAATTGAAGAACAGTTACATTTTATGGTATGAAAATGATACGTGTGAAGCAAAAAACTCTACAAGTTTAGGCATCATCCAAGAACAGAAATCTGAATCAAAATAAATTTGCTCTATAATACAGTTGCTCTGCCTGGCTGCTGTCCACACAACAAAGTCACCCCATGCACAACCCATAATGGCCATTTCGCCTTGAATCTGGGCATAACATTTATACTCTCTTTTCAACCTTGATCCCTCATCAGTGTCTTCCAAGAAAAATACTCTCACTGGTTCAACTGACCATCATCGTAGAAGGAAATCAACACATACTGATATGTACTTGTTGTTTCCAGGTTTTCAGATTTCCGATTCAAACCCACTTAGCAGGTGTAAAACAAATATCACATATGCGTCAGTTGAAACTAACAATATCTCATTCCAAGTTATCATTCATTTGAAATAAAAATCCTTATTGGAGCAGATTACTTTTGGAACTTCATCACAAACCATGAACTTGGTAATGGTAATGGACCAAACAATTTGGAAATGTTAAAGGAGGCAGAAAAAGAGGAACCTGTGATTTAAGAGTTAATTCAGGGGTATAAATTACCATTCATATATGACTGTGAAGTGTTCTCTCACTTCATTATAAAATACAGTCATATAAATATTCAACAAACAATATTAGGTCCCTTATGTATTTGTATGCAAATTTGTGTGATTTCATTGATTTGCCAATTTATTTTAAGCGATACACGTGTGCATGTATTTTTCTTGTTTCATATAGTTTAAAAGAGAAAAAATATTAATGTCCAGTTTACATTATAGTCGTTAATAAAATGCTTGTTCCATCCTAATGAAGTACCTGTCTCATCATACCTTGCACAGTTCACACCCTGGTGATAGATATTCCCTGGTTTTTAAAGTAGCGTGTAGTATAGTGTTGTATCTCATTTGTGTGGGGCTGATACAAAATTTTTAAAAAGGAGTTAAGAATTTTAAAAACCATTTCAATGTTATCGCTTACATGCGAATGACAACTTGAGTATATTACATAAAATTATTTGTCAAATTCGTACCATTCTCTGACTTATCGGATTTTGTGCTACACCTTTCATTTTTTCATTTAGTATAGGAAATGTACACCTAGTGTTCATTAAAGGTCTACACCCCTGCACTTGATTAAGAAAGTGTACTTTGTGTAAAAAGTTTGTAATGTCGAATGTAAAGAGAGGTAACTCGCTCTATATTTTCACTAAATTTCGTAAGAAAGAGTGTTTTCCTCTGATCGAGAATTTCTACCTCCTTCAGTGTAACAATTGTGCATTGTAAAATTCTACCATTCAGTGAGTTATTCTATCTTTCCTACTGACTTTCAGAATCCCATATTTAATCTATTTCTCTAAAGTGCCATTAGAACCCTTTCCTTCATTTCTTTTAGATAGCTCTGATGAATGGAAATATTTCTCATTATATTGTAGTATAAGTCTTATACATAACTTTGTTAATCTTAAAGGGAATTGATACCAATTTATGAAACTTGAAAGAATATAACAAAGTTATTGATACATGTTCATACTTTGATTTCATATTTTTGAAGAAAAAAGAGTTGTGCAGCACGAAGTCATTTTAACTCCATGAAAACCACTTAATTGACGATGATAATGAACATGTGACAACATTCTTTTTCCACTACTGTGTGTCTTATTATATTTGTGAATGTTTTTAATGAGCAGGCTTAAATATATCAGTCTTAAAATCAAAAGAAACAAAACAATATGCACAAGAGATTGTGAATCTATTTCTTAGAACTGACAAGCTGCTTTTCAACCTTACGAACATCATTGTAAACCCTTTTGTAGGGACTAAATGTGTCATTCTGAACTAACGGAATTGACAAACCTTGGTAACATATTGTTTATCTTGTCAATAACTAAGAGTCATCATTTCAATATTTTAAAGTCCTATTTATGAGTTACATATTTGACAGACCCTGACGATTCACTTTTTACATCAATATGTCGATTGCTGCTAGAACTGCTACTTCTGCCAATTGTGCGCTCTATGTTTGAAATTCGATCATTAATCATTTTACTTTGATCTTTAATTGTCTAATTCTGTTGCGCTATTTTTTTTTCTTGCTCTGCTAGTTTGCTATCTTGTTCTTTAATTTTTCTATCCTAGTCTTCAATCTTCTTCTTACACATGTCTAATCTATATTTGAGGTTGGCATTCTGTGTAATTAATCTTTTATTTTTATCCCTTAAAGAATCTATTTCTTTTTCTAGCGTTGCAATTTCTGTGTTTCTCAATCTTTCATTTTCCCGTGTCAATAACTTTACATTTTCCTGAAGTGCTGTGATCTCATCCACTTGTTTCTGAGATTTTGACTTTAGTTGACGCAGAGGCATTCCTTTTCCTCCAACAGTCTCTTACTGTTTTTCTCAACTTTTAGCAAGTCTTCATGCAGGTCCTCATTTTCAGAGTTAAGTTTACACTGCTTCGTTTCCATTTGCTTTAGGTATTCTTTTACTTCTTTGGAGATGTGATCTATTTCCAAATGTTCTTCCTTCTGTTTTTTCTCCTTGGTTTCAAGGATTTTATCCGAAGCATCTAGTAGTCTGCATAAACCGACTGATGCAAATTCTGTTTGAAAATAAAATCTGAAATTACGTCTGGAAATAACTGATAAGTACAGTAACGAAAAAATTTATTGTCATAACCTATGAGCCAGAAAAATAATGGCACATTTACAAAGCACCCATGCATGTAAAGAATAAAGTATATTCCGCTTATCATTAGTTAAAATTGTAAGACATTATCAAGCAATTGTAAAGTAGGGTGTTTTATAATATTCTTATCAAGAACATACCAAGAAGTGACTGCAAAAGCTTCAAGAAGCGAAGAAACATGGGACAAACTTCATTTATTAAAGTATGTTCAAATTAGGAACCTTGCTTTCCTTATGGGAAAAGTTATCTAAATTATTTTTTTCGTTTTAAAAATAAAATCAAAACAGTGCTTGGAATAAATGTGCAATCATCCAGATGTAACATGGTTATTTTTTTACCATGCAAATCAATGTCCTCAAGTTGGACAAAGTAAATATATAGAGTAATATGTTTATGGCATGACTAGTTACTAGTAATTTCTTATTTAAAAATTGCCTACAAGCATGGTGATCTTCAAAAAGGAACCTCCTTAATTTTATGAATAAAAGATAAAAGATAGACTTTAAATCTAATAGGAAAGTATTAAGTCTTTTACCTGTAACGGCATGCATGTATTTTTCATAATTCTTTCGTACGAATGTCAGATGGGAAGTATCTGTTAGCGGGTATTACTTTGGATATATCCGACACTCACATGTAACTGGTAGGTATTTATCCTTGCTGCCTGTTAATGCCATGTTTGCAATTACAGGTATTACACTATTAAACTTGGTGGAACACAGATCAAACAAAAGAGGATTCCACGTAATATCCTCAGAATCTTTTAGTATAAGGGTCACCCAATCTTTCTAAATTGTCCAATCTTCCTCCGCTCTCTAAAAGAGATTGCATTCATCTAACACTATCCGAATAGCTGTCTTGTTGAAATATATATATATATATATATATATATATATATATATATATATATATATATATATATATATATATATATATATATATATATATATATGAGAGAGAGAGAGAGAGAGATGACTGGAGTTAGATTGTGTTAAAATCATCTTTCTTAAAATGTATAATATAATTACTATAGGAACCTCTTGTGATTACTTGCCTGTTGCAATTCATGTTTTAAATCTAATATCAA